TTTTTTTTTTTTTTTTTTGCAGTTTTTGGCCAGGGCCAGGTTTGAACCTAGTATATGGAGCCAGTGCCCTACTCCTTTGAGCCACAGGCACCACCCTAGTTTTTCTATTTTTAATAGAAATGGAGTCTTGCTCTTGCTTGGACTGGTATCGAACTCCTAAACTCAGGCAACCCACCTGCCTTGGTCTCCCAGAGTGCTAAGATTACAGGCATGAGCTACCATACTGGGCTATTTCTAAGGGTTATTGAAGCATTAACTAAAGTCAAGTGTGTAGAAACATACTGCAAGCCCTAAAGAACTAAAGAAATGCATGTTGTTTTTTAATATGTGATTCTCACATTAAAGGGAATGCTCAGAGCACCTGTAAGTCATGAATCTAGTTTGAAGGAATTGTCATGACCAGGGAGTTCACCGAACATTAGTGGCTCAGAGGAGCATCAGAAATGTGTGTCCCCTCCTGGAGAACCAAGTACCTCTGGACAGCACTCTAAACGAAAATGGGGCAAGAGAAAATACCTTAGGGACTTTAGTCTCTCGAGATCAGCGGTTCTCAACCTGTGGGTTGTGACCCACAGGAACTGTATTAAAGGCTCGCGGCATTAGGAAGGTTGAGAACCACTGATCTAGATATATGGGGTTGACTTTGATGTCAAAGCATTGGGGCCTTGGGAAAATGTTATAACTTTTCTGACCTCCTGAATGCTAATCTGTAAAATGAAGATAAAGATACATAGCTCATATATTGTTTAAAAACATTAAATATAAAAGAATTAATACATGCAAGGTGTCCAGTAAATCTATCTCTGACATGCCTTCTCAGTGACCAGGCCTTTGCTCAATGCCCAGCATGTAATGTGCCCTCAATAAATATCTTGTGAATGAATGCATGCATGCATGAACTGTGTCATAAGTAGAAAGTTTGGGACATTAATGAGATAATGGGAACATCCAGAAACTAAAAGTGAATTAGGCATCTGTAGTCAGTGTGGGTGTAGAATCTTAATCTCTCTGGACCCGAACCAGTAGTTGAGGGTGGGACCAAAATATATTAAAGAATAAATGATAATTTGATGGTAGGAGACTTCACATTTTCTGATGAAGGATGAATACCTCAGACTCCCAACTTCACTCACTACTCTTCCCCAATTTAGACCTCAGGATAAAGGACATTGAAGTGAGGATGTATAGCCTGCAAGAAAGAAGGGCCATGCATACAAAGAGTTCAGCAAGCCTCAGGATGATGACTATCTCTGTATGTGTCCCTTTTCCACACTCACACATAAAGCTGTTATGTCCTAGTACAATGATTTCATCTCTTGGCCCCCAAATCTTTCCTTTAATGACTTGGAGTACAGGACTGAGGCTAAATGATGTGAGCACTGAGCTCCTCCTGAAGTTCTTTATGTCAAAAACACGCCCTACACCTCTCCTAACTGCTGCTGTTCTCACCTCCAGATTGTGAGAAGTGTCAGAACTCCTTCATTGACAACAGTGCTGTTCATGGACCCCCTACATTTGTGAAGTACACTGCAATGCACAAGGTACATCCCAACCACTCAGTCCTCAGTCTTCCCCCTGGGCTGGGAATTAGAACATCGGACATCTCTTGGGCTGGGCTTGGAGTATTGAACGAGGCATCTGATTTACAACCAGGGATGCACTTTGGCCCTTATGAGGCCCAGGTCATACAGGATGAAGAGGCAGCCAACAGTGAATACTCCTGGCTGGTGAGAAGTGCCTACCCTTTCCCCTGTTCTGGCTTCATCCCTTCTATGCCTTTGGCTGGAAGTCGCCCTCTACCTGGAAGGACATGCACATAGATAATTTGGTCATCTCTGTGTGCCCAGTGGTCTCTTCATGGGCAGGGAGCTCCAATGTAAAGGTCATAGAGTATGCAGGAGCAGAGTGGCACAAAGAGGTGCATCCTCCCTGTGGGCCTGTGCTCCAGTGGGACAGTGGAACTTAAACAGGGAGCTGGTGCCTAAGGCTGGCAGCTGAGTCCACACAGGCTCAGAGGGTACTGATAACAATAGAGTAGAATAAGTCTTCTGATTACTACTCTCTAAACAGCCTTTAACTTATTTTTTTGAAACTCAGATCACCAAGGGGAGAAACTGCTATGAGTATGTGGATGAGAAGGATGAATCTCAGAGCAATTGGATGAGGTAAGGATAGTAGTTTTCTGTGTTCCAGAGAGGGCATTTGTCTCTTACAAGCCCAGATTCCTTTCTTTTTCATCACACTTCCTTCAGTGGTTTTTGTATCCTCTTTTCTTATTTTTCTCCATACAATGCTCTTTAACATCACAAACATTTAGAAAAAGATAAAAATATAAATGTTACAACTTTTAATCAAAATATAAATCTCTATGATACACTATATCAAGGCAGCAGGATAAACCTTGAGGAGCCTAGATTCATTGGGGACACTGAATTCACATTTTATTTTATCTATTCCACATTTATTAAGCGCTTACTATTTTTTAGTTTAGAAAATGAAGATCATTACTTAAACAGATCACACAACCCGTGTCATTGTGGAGGATGTAATGCAGACAGACACAAAACATTTGATTATAGGAATATTTAACCATAATGTTTCTATTTTCCAAGACACACACAGTGCTAAGATAGCATAAAACAAAGGACCTTTAATCTTTGAGGGCAGGAAATCTTCCTATGCTCAGTGAAATTAAAACTGGGCCCTGTACCCTGGGCAGCAAACTTCAGGACAGTCTTGGGTGTCTGTGCTGCCAGGCCCAGCCCCTCTCCATAAGGGGCTCTCACTTTCTCAGGGGAGACAGGATACAAATAAACAATTACTGTTCTGTGCTGTTCTGCTAGGACAGTCCTCTAAAGTGGGTAAACTGTGGAAAAACTAGGAGTAGCCTCTCAACACAAAGCTGAATTGGGCTGAGTATAGAACGGTGTGTGCTGATCTAGAAGCAGAGCACATGAGCAAGCATCAAGTGCTGTGTCATAATTAGCATAGAGTTTGGAGAAGCTAGAGGTCACTCTGTCTTATGGCCAGTGAAGATAAAGGTAAGTCTAGAATTGGGCTTTGAAAAATGGTTAATTAGGTGGCACGGGGAGCATTCAAGGCAGGGTGGACCCTGTAAGCAAGACCTAGAGGCAGGAATTAATAAATCACTAAAAAGACTCAGGTGCAAGCAGAGTGCAGTCTGAGGAGCAGTGGGAAGTGGGCAGCACCAGACCATGGAGGTCTTGACCAGGGGACAAGCCAGATGCAGACCTGACAGGTGGTGGGAACTCACTGCCTATTTTCTTTCCCTCTGCTGCTCTATCACAGGTATGTGAACTGTGCCCAAGATGAAGAGGAGCAGAACCTGGTGGCCTTCCAAAACCATAGGCAGATCTTCTATCAGACCTGCTGGGCCATCAGGCCAGTCTGTAAACTACTGGTCTGGTATTGGGACAAGTATGTCCAGGAATTGGGCATCAAGTGGGGCAGCATGTGGAAGAAAGAGCTCACGGCGGGGCAAGGTGGGCACCACCACGACTCCCTAGGAAGGAAAGCTTCTCCTTGGGAATTCCCATGGTTCAGCTATTATCATTCTATATTTTTATTTTTATTTTCTCATTTTTTTTTTGTTACAGACAGGGTCTCACTTAGTCACCCAGTCTAGAGTGCTGTGGCACAATTATAACTCACTGCAGCCTTGAACTCCTGGCTTTAAGTTACCCTCCTTATTCAGCTTCCCAAAGTGCTGGGACTACAGGCCTGAGCCACTGTGCCCAGCCTAGTTCAATTCTTAAGTAGAGTAAAATGCAGTCTAAAGTCAGTAAAATGTCCAATCGGGTGCTTCTGAAATTAAAGATTCATGTCATAGGCCTTTGAATCCTAGAAACAATTTTTATAATTTTAAATTTTTGATCTGATTTCATATTCTAACTACTTCAGGAAGAAAATTTATAACATCAGATAATACTAAAAACCTTGTAGGTAAAAAGCAAGTTGTCTCACCTACCAGCTCTCTCAACAAGGTAGTTTCTTCTGTCCCTTTTAGGTATTTCTTTTTAAATTCCTCCATACATAAGAATAAGTAATATGCTTATATTATTATTCATTCACTTATTGTCTCAATTAGTTGTCATGTGAATTCTTGCTCTGTGCCATTGTTCCAGGAGCCAGAAGTTGAGCTTGAACAAGACACTCAGAATCTCTGCTCCTGGACAGCTGACACATGAATACGGAAATAACACATACACATACGGACCTATGCAGATCAGACTGTGATCAGTGCTTTGAAGAACACTAGTTCAGAAAAAGTGCCCAGTCATCAGTCCAGGAAAAGTGCCCAGGCATCAGCGGAGGGTGAGGTGTAGCAGGGTGGTCAGAGAATGTTCCCCTCAGGGGATTGCATTTGAGAAGTGTAAACACCACCAGCCAAAGGATTCAGGGCAATGACTCTGGGGCAAGGAAGAGTTAGGGTGCCAGAGACCACTCAAAGAAACCAGAAAGGGTAAGAGCAAAAGTGGGAGAAACACAAAGAAGCCTGGAAACATAGGGCCTATGAATCATGCCAAGACACTGCAGTTTTCATTTCTCTGTTCACTTCTCTACTCTAAGATGAAGCTTTGGTTAATTTTCAGAAAATAGACTGCAGTGGGTAATCCCCTCAGAGGCTCCTCAGTCTCCAGATGGGAGAGATGAAGGTGGCAGTCCAGGAGCTAAGAAGTCTGATTAAGGATATGTGTTACCAGCCTGAGCAAGAGCGAGACCCCATCTCTATAAAAAAAAATAGCCAGGAGTTGTGGCAGGTGCCTATAGTCCCAGCTACTTGGGAGGCTGAGGCAAGAGGATTGCTTAAGCCCAAGAGTTGGAGGTTGCTGTGAGCTATGACACCACAGCACTCTACCCAGGGCAACATGGTGAGACTCTGTCTCAAAAAAAAAAAAAAAAATCAAGGATATGTATTAAAACAGGACTTCCTAGTATATTTGAAACAGACAAAGACTAAATAACAGGTCAAGCATGAATACTTGCTGTGTGGGCTGAGGAAGAACATATTTTCATTTTCTGATTTGTGGCAATCCATGGCCTAGTTGGGACAGCAAGATCCAGAGCCCTTTAGTCAGTGGGACCTGGATGACTCTGTATTGTACAACTTGAATCCCACTTCCCTGTAAAGAGATGGGCACATAAGAGTCCTCAATAAAATATGTCTTCTTTAACAGGGAGACTCAAATTCAGACTCACTCACAGAAGCTCTCTTTAGCCACAACCCTGCGCTGCCTTCCACATTTATGCACCCTCCAGGCTGGTGGCTCCTAACCTACCAGATCCCTTTCCCCTCATAGGAAAAGTCATTAGAGATGATTCTCCCCTAAGTCATTAAGAATGTCATTTCTCAGTAGAATGAAACAGCTGCAAACTCTATAAGGAATCTAGGGATCAGTGTGAGGGAAGGGAGCCTGGGCGGGGGCGGGGGGGCAAGGGAGGTTTGAAATGGCTTGGAAGATATTTGTAGTTTACAGAGGGAAAGTCACTGCAGCTCCATCTATGGAAGGAGTGAAACTGCCTCTGAGCTACTGGAGATCAGTGGTGTGGCTGATTTGTAGAGAAGGTACATGATGTGGGTTTCCTGGATTTTATCCCTGTAATACTAACACTCTGGGAGGCATGGCAGGTGAATTACCTGAGCTCAGAAGTTCAAGAACAGCCTGAGCAAGAGTGAGACCCTATCTCTAAAAACTAGCTGAATGTTGTGGCAGGTGCCTGTAGTCCCAGCTACTTGAGAGGCTGAGGCAAGAGGATTGCTTGAGTCCAAGAGTTTGAGGTTGCTGTGAGCTATGACACCATGACATTCTACCCAAGGAGACAAAATGAGAGACTGTGCCTCAAAGAAAAAAAAAAAGATGTGTTGAATAAAAATAGAATAGAAAAATGGACTGTAAAAGTCCATCAAACCTTGGTGGGAGACCATCTGCCTTGTTAACACACAGAAGAATGATTAGTGGAACAGGCCTTACCATACAACAAAGTAGATGGCACAAACAGCATTGTTTACATCTATTCTGACCAAAAATTTCCTCTCTTAGCAGAACCAAAGCCAGAGATTCATCCATGTCCATCATGCTCTCTGGCCTTCTCCACTCAGAAATTCCTCAGTCAACATGTAGAATGCACGCACTCCTCTCAGATCTCCCTGGGAACATCTGGAAGAAAATACCTCCAACCAGACACTCCCTGCCCCAAGGATGAGAATCAGGAGCCCCAACATTCTGATCCTCACAGCTGGAATAACAAAACCAAAGGTCAAGAAGTCAAAGAAATGTCAAAACCCTCTCATAAAAAGACGCAGCAGAGCAGGATTTCAAGGATATTTTCCTGCCCACCTAAAAGACAAATGGGGAGCTCTAGGGAGGGTGAAAGAATGATAGCGGAAGAGCCCAGACCAGACCAGAAGGAGGGTCCAGGGGATACAAGAAAATTATGTATGACAGTAGGGATCTCAAGAATTGCAAAAGTCGGGGTGGCGGCTGTGGTTCAATGAGTGGGGCACAGGCCCCATACACCAAGGGTGGTGGGTTCAAACCTGGCCCCAGCCGAACTGCAACAAAAAAATAGCTGGGCATTGTGGCAGGCAACTATGGTCCCGGCTGCTCAGGAGGCTGAAGCAAGAGAATTGCCTAGGCCCAGGAGGTGGAGGTTGCTATGAGCTGTGATGCCATAGCACTCTACTGAGGGTGACAAACTGAGATTCTGTCTCAAAAAAAAAAAAAAAAAGAATTGTACAAGTCAAGAATGGAGAGTGTAGGCAAAGTTTCAGTGATAAGTCAAACCTCCTCACACACCAGAGGACACACACAGGAGAGAATCCTTCTGTGGGC